AAAAACCGCCATCATTATTGCATATTTAAAATAAAAACTAGAAAAATTGCAAACCAAAAATTGAAGAAACGAAAAATAAAAAATCGAAAAATTGAAAAAAGAAAAAGTATAAAATCAGAACACTGAAAAAACGAAAAATTGAAAAAGTAAAGAAAACAAAAAAATCGAAACGAAAAATTTCAAATCGAAGAATTGAAGACGAAAAATTGAAAACATCTAATAGTTGGAAAATCGAAAAACTGAAAAATTTAAAAATGAAAACTCTTCAATGGTACAATTGAAGAAACAAAAAAATGGAAAACTGAAAAATTGCATATCGAAAAATTGGACAAATTGAAATTGAAAAACAGAAAATTATAAAATCGTAAAATTGTAAAAATGAAGAAAATAAAAAACCGAGACAAAAAATAGCAAAAATTACTAAATCTAAAAAATCGAAATAACAAGAAAAATGAAAAATTGAAAAATCGCAAAACGAAAAATTATAAAATTGAATCATTGAAAGACCGAATAATTGAAAAAATGAAAAAATTAAGTTGAAAATTGGAGAGACTAAAATCGAAACATTGCAAAATTTAAAAATTGGAAAATTCAAAAATTGGAAAATTGAAAATCTGAAAAATTTAAGCTTAAAAACTCGAAAAGCTGCAAATCTAAAATCTGATGAACGAGAAAAAAAATCAGAATCTAAAAATTAAAAATTGAAAAACTAAAAAAATGCAAAAGCAAAAAAGTGGAAATTAGAAAAATTGCAAATTAAAGAACTGAAGAAACGGAAAATTGAAAAACTTAATAATTGAAAAAAATAGTGGAAAGAGGAAAAAAGGAATCGAAAGGAAAAATTGGAAAACCCAAAAATTGTAAAATCGAAAAATGATAAAATCGTCAAAATTGTAAAGTCGAAAAAGTAACACTGGGAGATCGAAAAATTGAAAAACCAAATATCGAGAAAATCAAAAATTGAAAAATGAAAAATCGAAATAATGAAAACGGTTTAAAATCTAATAATTGAAAAACTGTAAAAATTCTAAAATCGTAAAATTAAAAAACTGAACCATTTAGAAAAATTGCAAATCAAAAATTTAAGAAACGAAAAATTAAAAAAATCTAAAAGTTGAAAAATCGAAAAATTGAAAAAAGAAAAGTTACGGAATGAGAACATAAGAAAACTGAAAAATAAAAAAGTGAAAAAAATTAAAAACTAAAACATCCAAAAGTTGGAAAATTGAAAAACTGAAAAATTTAAAAATGAAAACTCTTCAATGGTACAATTGAAGAAACAAAAAAATGGAAAATTGAAAAATTGCAAATCGAAAAATTGGACAAATTGAAACTGAAAAACAGAAAATTATAAAATCGTAAAATTGTAAAAATGAAGAAAATAAAAAACCGAGACAAAAAACAGCAAAAATTACTAAATCTAAAAAATCGAAATAACAAGTTAATGAAAAATTGAAAAATCGCAAAACGAAAAATTATAAAATTGAAACATTGAAAAACCGAATAATTGAAAAAATAAAAAAATTAAGTTGAAAATTCGAGAGACTAAAATCGAAAAATTGCAAAATTTAAAAATTGGAAAATTCAAAAATTGGAAAATTGAAAATCTGAAAAATTTAAGCTTAAAAACTCGAAAAGCTGCAAATCTAAAATCTGATGAACCAGAAAAAAAAATTAGAATCTAAAAATTAAAAATCGAAAAACTAAAAAAAATGCAAAAAAATGCAAAATCAAAAAAGTGGAAATTCGAAAAATTGTAAATTGAAGAACTGAAGAAACGGAAAATTGAAAAAAATAGTGGAAAGAGGAAAAAAGGAATCGGAAGGAAAAATTGGAAAACCCAAAAATTGTAAAATGATAATATCGTCAAAATTGTAAAGTCGAAAAAGTGTAACAATGGGAGATCGAAAAATTGAAAAACCAAATATCGAGAAATTCAAAAATTGAAAAATGAAAAATCGAAATAATGAAAACGGTTTAAAATCTAATAATTGAAAAACTGTAAAAATTCTAAATTCGTAAAATGAAAAAAGTGAAACATTTAGAAAAATTGCAAGTCAAAAATTTAAGAAACGAAAAATTAAAAAAATCAAAAAGTTGAAAAATCGAAAAATTGAAAACCGAAACGTTGCAAATCAAAAAATTTAAAAATTTAAAAACTTTACATTGAAAAAAGAAAAGTTATAGAATGAGAACATAAGAAAACTGAAAAATAAAAAAGTGAAGAAAATTAAAAACTAAAACATCCAAAAGTTGGAAAATTGAAAAACAGAAAATTATAAAATCGTAAAATTGTAAAAATGAAGAAAATAAAAAACCGAGCCAAAAAATAGCATTAGAGAATCGAAAAATTGAAAAATTAAAAATAGAAAACTCGAGAAATTTTAAATCGAAAAATTACTAAATCTAAAAAATCGAAATAACAAGAAAAATGAAAAACTGAAAAATCGCAAAACGACAAATTGAAGAAACGAAAAATTATAAAATTGAAACATTGAAAAACCAAATAATTGAAAAATTAAAAAAATTAAGTTGAAAATTCGAGAGACTAAAATCAAAAAATTGAAAAATTCAAAAATTGTAAAATTGAAAATCTGAAAAATTTAAACTTAAAAACTCGAAAAGCTGCAAATCTAAAATCTGATGAACCAAAAAAAAAATGAGAATTTAAAAATTACGGTTGAAAATTCGAGAGACTAAAATCAAAAAATTGAAAAATTCAAAAATTGGAAAATTGAAAAACTTAAAAATTGAAAAAAAATAGTGGAAAGAGGAAAAAACGAATCGAAAGGAAAAATTGGAAAACCCAAAAATTGTAAAATCGAAAAATGATAAAATCGTCAAAATTGTAAAGTCGAAAAAGTTAAACACTGAGAGATCGAAAAATTGAAAAACCAAATATCGAGAAATTCAAAAATTGAAAAATGAAAAATCGAAATAATGAAAACGGTTTAAAATCTAATAATAGAAAAACTGTAAACATTCTAAAATCGTAATATTAAAAAAGTGAAACATTTAGAAAAATTGCAAATCAAAAATTTAAGAGACGAAAAATTAAAAAAATCTGAAAGTTGAAAAATCGAAAAATTGAAAAAAGGAAAGTTATAGAATGAGAACATAAGAAAACTGAAAAATAAAAAAGTGAAAAAAATTAAAAACTAAAACATCCAAATGTTGGAAAATTGAAAAACTGAAAAATTTAAAAATGAAAACTCTTCAATGGTACAATTGAAGAAACAAAAAAATGGTAAATTGAAAAATTGCAATTCGAAAAATTGGACAAATTGAAATTGAAAAACAGAAAATTATAAAATCGTAAAATTGTAAAAATGAAGAAAATAAAAATCCGAGACAAAAAATAGCAAAAATTACTAAATCTAAAAAATCGAAATAACAAGAAAAATGAAAAATTGAAAAATCGCAAAACGAAAAATTGAAGAAACGAAAAATTATAAAATTGAATCATTGAAAGACCGAATAATTGAAAAAATAAAAAAATTAAGTTGAAAATTGGAGAGACTGAAATCGAAAAATTGCAAAATTTAAAAATTGAAAAATTCAAAAATTGGAAAATCTGAAAAATTTAAACTTAAAAACTCGAAAAGCTCCAAATCTAAAATCTTATGAACCAAAAAAAAAAAAAATGAGAATCTAAAAATTAAAAATCGAAAAACTAAAAAAATGGAAAAAAATGCAAAATAAAAAAAGTGGAAATTCGAAAAATTGTAAGTTGAAGAACTGAAGAAACGGAAAATTGAAAAACTTAAAAATAAAAAAAAATGGTGGAAAGAGGAAAAAACGAATCGAAAGGCAAAATTGGAAAACCCAAAAATTGTAAAATGATAAAATTGTCAAAATTGTAAAGTCGAAAAAGTGTAACACTGGGAGATCGAAAAATTGAAAAACCAAATATCGAGAAATTCAAAAATTGAAAAATGAAAATCGAAATTATGAAAACGGTTTAAAATCTAATAATTGAAAAACTGTAAAAATTCTAAAATCGTAAAATTAAAAAAAAGTGAAACATTTAGAAAAATTGCAAATCAAAAATTTAAAAAACGAAAAATTAAAAAAATCTAAAAATTGAAAAATTGAAAAATATTGCATTGAAAAAAGAAAAGTTATAGAATGAGAACATAAGAAAACTGAAAAATAAAAAAGTGAAGAAAATTAAAAACTAAAACATCCAAAAGTTGGAAAATTGAAAATTTTAAAATGAAAACTCAGTTGCACACAAAAAAAATAGAAAATTTAAAAATTACCGTCATTATTACATATTTAAAATAAAAACTAGAAAATTGTAAATCAAAAATTGAAGAAACGAAAAATTTAAAATGTAAAAGTTGAAAAACCGAAAAATTGAAAAAATAAAAAAACAAACAAATAATTGCAAATAAAAAATTGAAGACCTGACTTGACATGACCTGACTTGACATGACCTGACCTAACCTGTTTTTGTATTTTTCACAAAATAAAACAGTTGCATTACTTAGAGTGGCTCCTTATCTTTGAAATACCCCCTATATTAATCTTTGGGTGCGGTGTTGCCACGTTATTTGTTTCCAAAAGTTTGTTGATGTTTAAATTTAATTCGAGAACATGACAACATTGGTGTTGAAATGCGTAGACAATTTGTTGAAAGTGTTGGTGTCTCGAGGATAATAACAAGGCTTTTTCGAGTATTTCATAGAAAGCTATACATTGGAAAATGAAAAGTTTCGTTTTATACTTCATCAGTAATAAACACGAAAATAAACGTTGAAAACAAAGAATGTTTCTTTGAATTCGAAGGAAGAATGGTGCATAAAACACAAGTAAAAGTGTTTTACGTGCATTTGTGGTAAATTTCGTACTAGAATTTTCTCACTCGTGCGAAATGTGTCACTTTCCGTACTCGTTGCGTAACAAAACTGTAACAATTTTAGTCGATTTTTATTTATTACTAGACTATTCGTATAGTCAGATCACCATCGAACATTCTAAATGTAAATAAACTGTAGTTTCAGATGACAACAGTTCCATCCAATCATCTCCGTGGCAGCGCGATCATTCCTGGAAGCAGCCGTCTCCGCGCCGCAACCAGTCCAAGGAGTTGTCGTTTTTCTTCTGGCGGCCTAAGCACAAGCGCTCTTCCGCCGCCGCCGCCGCCAAGAGCCGCAAGTCCAGGCGTCCGTACTCCGCCCTGCCCGAGAAGGACAGCCGCGTCGTGTTCAGTGACAGGACATCAAAAGACGGTGCGTCCACGACCACAAACAATAACTGTAAAAGTCGAAGTGTCCGTGCTTCCTTGCTCGTCATCGTGCAGAACCTGTTGGACAGAACGTCGACGGCGGCGGCGACGACGACGGCGGCGGCGTCGCGCGCGGACGTCGCCGTCGTCTCGCCCAGAAAGAGGTTTTTGCGCGAAATGGAAAAGGACAAAGTGCAAACGGACGACGGGTGCCTGAAGAGGAGCAGGAACAAGACGCCGGCGAAGTTCGGGAGTCCGGTCACCGCGAACGGGACGACGGAGGACGTCGGCGGCGGCGGAGGCGCTGTCAAGCCGGCGCGCAACTGTAGCTACAGCATCACGTCACTGCTGGCGGAGGATCGGAATGTGAAACGGTCGCCGAGTAATTCCCCTAGTCACTTTAACGCGTCGATCGCGCAGCCGCAGTACTGCTCGCCTTCGTCGGAGGATCGCTGGTACTCGGAGAGCGTCGATCGGTTGCGTTCCATCGAACTCTCGGTAAGTCGGAGGGCTTCACTCAACTTAAGCTAAGGAGTTTTTCGACGTTTGATGACCTCTAGACTACGAAAAAAGTGGTCTCTTTTTGTTTTTTCATTTCATTTTTTTTCAGTGTTTCTTTCCATTTTATAATTTTTTTCATTCCGTTTTTCAATTTTCAATCTTTGATTTTTCAATTCCCCGATTTTCCAATTATAAAATTTTTCAATTTTGTAATTTTTGGATTTTCATTTATCCGATTTTTCAATTTCGTTCATTTTCAATATTTCGATTTTGCCCTTTTTCGATTTTTAAGTTTCTCAATTTTTGTTTCTTCAATTTTTCAAGTTGTTGATTTCCACTTTTTAGTTTTCATTTTAATTTTTTTGGTTTTTCATTTTTGATTTTTCAATTTAACAATTTTGCAATTTTTCCATCTTTTTATTCGAATAGTTAAAAATCGAAAAATTGAAAAATCTAAAAACTATAACAATGAAAAAAAATTGAAAAATCGGAAAACTATAAAAATGGAAAACTGCAAAATTGAAAATGTGGAAACTCGAAAAATTGAAAATTAAAGAACTGAAGAAACGAAAAATTGAAACATCGAAGACCAAAAATCCAAAAAAATTAATGAGTGAAACATGGAGAGAAGAAAAAACGAATCGAATGGAAACCACAAAAATTGTAAAATCGACAAATTATAAAATCGTCAAAAATGTAACACTGGAACATCGAAAAATTGAAAAACCAAATATGTATCCAGAAATTCAAAAATTAAAACTGAAAAATGAAAAATCGGAGTAATGAAGAAGTTTTAAAATCCAATAATAATTGAAAAATTACCATCATTATTACATATTTCAAATAAAAACTAGAAAAATTGCAAATCAAAAATTGAAGAAACGAAAAATTAAAAAATCTGAAAGTTGAAAAATCGAAAAATTAAAAATTGAAAAATTGAAAAAAGGAAAACGTTGAAAAATCGGAAAACTATAAAAATGAAAAACTGCAAATCGAAAAAGTGGTAATTCGAAAAATTGAAACATTGGAAAATCAAAAATCTAAAAAAATTAATGAGTCGAAACATTGAAAAGAAGAAAAAACGAATCGAATCGAAAAATTGGAAATCCCCAAAATTGTAAAATAAAAAAAAATAAATCGTCAAAATTGTAAAGTCGAAAAAGTGTAACACTGGATGATCGAAAATTTGAAAAACCAAATATCGAGAAATTCAAAAATTAAAAACTGAAAAATGAAAAATCGAAATAATGAAATTTTAAAATCCAATAATTGAAAAATCGAAAAATTCTAAAATCATAAAATTAAAAAAGTGAAAACTTTGAAAAATTACTATCATTATTATTATTTGAAATAAAAATTAGAAAAATTGCAAATCAAAAATTGAAGAAACGAAAAATTAAAAAATCAGAAAGTTGAAAAATTGACAAATTTTACATTGAAAAAAAAAGTTATAAAATCAGATCATGGAAAAAGCGAAAAATTGAAAAAAGTAAAGAAAATAAAATACCAAAACGAAAAATTGCAAATCGAAGAATTGAAGACATGAAAAATTGAAAAATTAAAAACTGAAACTTCAAAACTTGGGAAATCGAAAAACTGAAAAATTTAAAAATGGAAACTATAAGTTGGCATATGATACAATTATTATTGAAGAAATAAAAAAATGGAAAATTGAAAAATTGCGAATCGAAAAATTGGACAAATTGAAATAGAAAAACAGAAAATTATAAAATCGAAAAATTACTAAATCTAAAAAATCAAAAAACAGGAAAAATGAAAAATTGAAAAATCGCAAAACGAAAAACTGAAGAAACGAAAAATTATAAAACTGAAACATTGAAAAACCGAATAATTGAAAAAATAAAAAAATGGAGTTGAAAACTCCAGACTCAAATCGAAAAATTGGAAAATTTAAACATTCAAAAATTCAAAAATTGGAAAATTAAAAGTCTGAAAAATTTGAACTTAAAAACTCGAAAAGCTGCAAATATAAAATCTGATGAAATAAAAAAAATGAAAAATTGAAGAATCTAAAAATTAAAATCGAAAAACTAAAAAATCGAAAAAATTGCAAAATCAAAAAACTGAAGAAACGAAAAATTGAAACATTGAAAAACCAAAAATCGAAAACTTACAAATTAAAAAAAATAGTGGAAAGAAGAAAAAACGAATCGAATGGGAAAATTGGAAAACCCAAAAAATGTAAAATCGAAAAATTGTAACACTGAAACATCGAAAAATTGAAAAACCAAATATCGAGAAATTCAAAAATGAAAAATTTTAAAATCCAGAAATTGAAAAATCGTGAATTTTTAAAAATTACGATATTGAAAATAAAAATTAGAAAAATTGCAAATCAAAAATTGAAGAAACGAAAAACTAAAAAATCTCAAAGTTGAAAAATCGAAAAGTTAAAAACCGGAAAGTTGCAAATCGAAAAATTTTAAAATCGAAAAACAAAAAAAGGAAAAAATTGGAAAATTATAAAAATAGAAAAAGCGGAAATTCGAAAAACTGTAAACTGAAGAACTGAAGAAATGAAAAATTGAAACATTGAAAAACCAAAAATCGAAAAACTTAAAAATCTAAAGCTATTAATGAATCGAAACATTGAAAAGAAGAAAAAACGAATCGAATCGAAAAATTGGAAAACCCAAAAATTGTAAAATCGAAAAGTGATAAAGTCGTCAAAATTGTAAAGTCGAAAAAGTGTAACACTGGGAGATCGAAAAATTGAAAAACCAAATATCTAGAAATTAAAAAAAATGAACGGTTTAAAATCTAATAATTGAAAAATTGTAAAACTTCTAAAATCGTAAAATTAAAAAAGTGAAACATTCAGAAAAATTGCAAATCAAAAATTGAAGCAACAAAAAATTGAACCCAAACGTTGCAAATCAAAAAATTGAAAAATTTAAAAACTTTACATTGAAAAAAGAAAAGTTATAAAATGAGAACATAAGAAAACCGAAAAATTAAAGAGTAAATAAAGAGTAAATTAAAGAGTAAAGAAAATTAAAAACTAACATCCAAAAGTTCGATGAAAAATCGAAAAACTGAAAATTTTAAAAAGGAAAACTCAAAGACCTGCACACAAAAAAAATTGAAAATTGAAAAACAAAAAATTGTAACATCGAAACATTAAAAAATTGAACAATTGTAAAAACGAACAAAAAAAAACCGAAACGAAAAATTGAAAAATTAAAAATTGAAAACTAAATTTTAATTTAAAAAATTGCAAAAACTTAAAATCCAAAAACAAAATAATGAATCGAAACATTGGAAAGAAGAAACAACGAATCGAATGAAAAATTGGAAAACCCAAAAATTATAAAGTCGAAAAATTATAAAATCGTCAAAATTATAAAGTCGAAAAAGTGCAACACTGGAAGATCGAAAAAAATTAAAAACTGAAAAATGAAAACTCGAAATAATGAAAAAGGTTTTTTTAAATCCAATCATTTTGAAAAATTTAAAAATTCTAAAATCGTAAAATTAAAAAAGTGAAATATTTGAAAAATTACCATCATCAATATGTACATATTTAAAATAAAAACTAGAAAAATCGTAAATCAAAAAACGAAAATTTAAAAAATGTAAAAGTTGAAAAATCGAAAAATTGAAAACCGAAAAGTTGAAAAAAATTAAGAAAATAAAAACCGAAATGAAAAATTGCTAATCGAAGAATTGAGGACATGAAAAATTGAAACATCCAAAAGTTGGAAAATCGAAAAACTGAAAAATTTAGAAATGAAAACTCGCAGAGTTGCAGAGGTTACAATTGAATAAAAAAAAATGGAAAATTGAACCAATTGAAATTGAAAAACAAAAAATTATAAAATCAGAACATGAAAAAATGGAACAATTGTAAAAATGAAGAAACTAAAAAACCGAAACGAAAAATTGAAAAATTAAAAATTTAAAACTGGACAAATTTTAAATCGAAAAATTGCAAAATCTAAAAATCGAAGAAACAGGAAATTGGAGAAATTCAAAAATCGTAAATCGAAAAATTTGAAGAAATAAAAAATTGAAAAAAATCAAAATTGGAAAAAGAAAGAATTATAAAATTCAAAAATTGTAAAATCGAAAAACTGAAAAATTCAAAATGAAAACTCCAAGAGTTGCATTGCATATGGTACAATTGAAGAGACAAAAACAAAATGGAAAATTGAAAAACAAAAAATTATCAAATCAGAACTTTGAAAATCGAACAATTGTGAAAATGAAGAAAATAAAAAACCTAAACGAAAAATTGAAAATTGAAAACTCGACAAATTTTAAATCGAAAAACTACAATATCTAAAAATCAAAGAAACAGGAAACATGAAAAATTGAAAACTCGAGAAAATCAAATCGAAAAATTGCAAAATTCAAAAATTAGAAAATTGAAAAACTGAAAAATTTAACCTTAAAATTTCGAAAAATTGCAAATCGAAATTCTGATGAAACAAAAAAAAAAAGAAAAATTGAAGAATTGAAAAAGTCTAGTCAAAAAAGCTGAGGGAGTGTTATTTACGAAACGTTATCAGAAAACAAAAATCGAAAAAAATAATATACTTATTAATATAACTAGAACTTCCATTTCGTTAAAATTTTTGAACGAACTTTTTGCTTTAATATTTAATTCAATCTGAAAATGCGATGGTACGTAAAAAATTTTTAAAAGACTGGAAAATTTTAATTTCTTAAAGTATGCGCGGTCTTGGGAAACAATCGAAAATAACCTTTGGATTTGGTGCATCCGTTACATTATTATTAACGGCGATGACGTTTAAACGGTATTGAAAGATTCAAAACTCGAGGTACAAAATGTGTCACTCAAGGTAACAAAGGTACAGTTATTAAGTGCCGCGGAGCCAAGTAACCTTGGACTGGATCGGCCATGAAACACATTAAAATGTTTTTGTTTTTAGTAACCCACAATGTTAATCCTGTTTAAATTTTATAAAATGACATAATTTTATACCTGTGGTTTATGAATCCGCCTTGATTTTTTACTGCAATATTTTTCTACATTGACTATTGGACACGTAGTTAACCGATAATTCGGTTATAATTGTACAAAAATTCGTCAAATTTTCTCTGATCGATCCACATAAATTTGCACACATCGGAATGCAGTCAACCAAAGTAGGAAAAGGAAACGACATAACCAATAAATATTAATCACGCCAAGACAACTAGTTTACACAAACCAATAGAAATTTCGGGACGTTTCGCTTCTATGCATGAAAATTTAATTGCGTTATGTCAAGGCATTTTGTGAACAGATGGCAACGTCGCTATTTTCCTCAAGAATTTCATGTCAGGGTTGCCAATGAATGGCGATGCTTAGAATTAATTTTCTCAACATCGTAAATGTGCTAAAATTTGCCAACTGGTGGTTTATTTATTAAATTGCACAAGCCGTTTTAGACAACAGTAATTGAACAGTTTTTGGAACACGAGTACATCGTTTGTACTCGTCAGAAATTGCTGCCAAAATATTTGTTTTATGGTGAGAGGGCAATTTATAAGGTTGTTTGTTTATTTAAGTACAGTTGCAATTTTTTACTGTCAAGGAGGTGTGACTTTTGAGTGTTTCCAATTCAGTCGTTGACCAAAAAATGGGTGACACGTGGTTATAAAAAGGCAAGCACAATTTTTCTTTGTGTTGCATATAATTTTTTTTACAATAGATTGAAGTTGTGCACATCAATCATTTTTTGACATTTAACGATCCGTGGATGGATAAATCTGACAAAGAAGATTATTGTCGTCAAATAAAATCGAAGATAAGAATGTCATTGATAAAAACAGTCAAGGGATGTATTGAAAACTAAGCATAGTAGAAATAAGAGTAGAACTTTCAGCAAAAAATTAATAAAAATTCGATTTTCGAAGTTTCAATAAATTAGGCTACTTTATGGCCAGCGGTCTAAAAGGTTAAGGTAAACCCGCAGCGAGTTTAAAAATTATTAGTTTTCCGCAACCAATTAATAATATTAAACGGGTCTGGTAGAAACCGATCTACATGGTGGTCCAAGAACTTGTTAAATTTAAAGTTCAAATTAGACCAAATGAATTCGCATACGTCGTCATTTCTTTGTTTTTAGTGAAGAAAGTCGAAAACGATGGTACTGTAAAAAAGTTTTCCAATTGACACGCTTTATGCACTTGATATGGTCTAATTCGTACATCTACGTTCATTGCGTTTAGGAAGTGTTGGGTGAGATGTTTGATGTGTAGCGTAGTGTGGTAAATACACTTCCCGGTTTCTCTGTTTTAGTAATTATGGCACCGGTTGTGCCATGATTTATGATCTTATCAGCTTCTGGAAACAGACTCCGTAATAATTTAAAATAGCCAGTTTTTTCTAATTTATTTTATTTTTTGCAGCAGGCTGATAAAAGAGGTTACCCTTCGTACCCTCATCCGTCTTACTTACCACCATACATGTACCCGTATACTCTTCCTCCATATTACGGTCCAGGTGTTTATGGAAGGGGTTACATAATGCCACCAATCTACCACACTCCTCCCATGCCCATAGAAATGAGCCACGATACTCCTTCCTGTTCTTGGGCTGCGGATCCCCCTAGGGACTTAGAACACAGAGATGATAATATCACAGGTAATAATAATAATCTGAATTAATCTCGAATTTCCGCTATTGTTAAAAATTGGGATTTCCGAAAATACTGTTTTTTGAGAAAGTAGATTTTTTCGGGAATGTCAGTTGCGTCTTGACGAAGAAACGTGGTGATAAAGTGTGTTTTTTGCAGATATGCCGTTGAATCTGTCTAAACACGCCGGTTGAACCGAGCATGTGCCTTCCATTTGTTACAACTATAACAATATTTTTATATTTAAATGATTTTTATCCCGAAATATCGTTCTATTCAAAAACAAAAGCAACAAATCCAAACGGCACTCGAAGAATTTTTCAATTTTGGTGTTGTTATTTTGTTGTGTGATACATATTTTGTGGGTAAATATTTTGTTGTTTAAAAAAAAGATAATACAAAAAGAAAGAAAAATACAAGTGTGGTTTTTATGTGTAATTGATAGATTATAGCTTTAAAGCATAAACTATTGTGCAATGATAGCTGAACCAGCGAAAAATGTAATGATGGGAGGTGTATATTAACTAAATTTGCTTTCGTTTTATTTGAAGTTATATTTTAATCTGTTAGTTTAATTTTTTCTTTTCCCACGAGTGTACATAAAAGAGTCATTTTCATTGTTATTTTTGTAAATATAGTGGCAATGTTTAAAATTATCGTTACGTTGCGATTTTGTTTCGTACTTGCCTTTACGTTGGAGCTTTCGTTTTTGCTGTAAATCATTATTTTCTAAGTTGTGTAATAATCATTTTTGAAATAAAAACAATCGTTTTGGAAACAGAAGGCGAGTTTTCTTTGACGAAAAGTGGAGAAGGTTTAAATTACTTGCGTCCCAGTTGGATCGAGGATTCTAGTTACTAGATGTCAAAAAAGATATTAAGTGGGGGTATGTATAAACAGTCGTTTTTATTTTGTAAAATGTGTACTCAGATCGACGGAAATACTCTTGTAAATATTTGGAGTAAAGTCTCTATAATCACGAAGATTTAATTTAATAATAATCAAACTGACGTCAGATTTTTTTGTATTTATTGTGTTGGTACTTGTAGCCAAATTTTTGGTCAAACCTTTTGTTTCTAAAACATTGCTGTTTCTAGGTCATCCAAAGTTAAGGCATGTGCGTTTCCCTTTTGTGCTCATGGAAAGAAATATATAAAATGTGTTTACTTGAATTTTTTTGTAAGTTTAAAACTTAAAAAAAGTTCCTTCTTCCTACTTACCTTACCCAAAAATGAAAATGTGTAATAGTTTCTAAGGAACAAGTGTTGTAAATAACAATTATGTGTGACATTTTACCATTAAGATAAGAAATTTGTATAAACTATATTTTCGTACGATTTATTTTTTTTAAGATTATGCGTGTAATCCTTAAAAGACAATAGATAAGTCTTTTGTAAAATATTTTTTCTGATTAGGATTTGACTAATTAATGATCAGGATATTTATATAGATCTATTTCTCTAATATAACTATTATATAGAGTTTCAAATGGTGCCATTTTCTATTAACATAAGAATCCGAAAACTGTAGGAGCTTTACAGTATTTATTAAATTCTTACTACACATGATATTTATTTTTTAGTGACACAAATTGCTGTACCGTATTCTACTAAAGCCAAAGCATCTGACGAGTAATTCATTTTTTAGCAGGACAGTTTGAAATTAATTCAATAGGTATTGGCACTTGACCTAATTGTGATAATATTGGTAAATATTAAGCATTGTAGAATTACAAGAGTCCAACCCTTGAACTGAATATTTATATTTATATTTCTGCGAGCGATTGAACTCTGCAATGTGTATTGTACATTGAAATACATGAAATATTTAAGCCACTTTTGCGTTGTAACTCAGTCCTACACATCCTTTTTTGTCACGTGATTCGATTCCCACAGCCAGGTGTTATCTGCAATAATAAATCGATTTTTTGTAGACGTTTCGCGTCGTCTTTCTTCCATTATGGTGTAGATGGCGCCACTGACGGTTAATCATATTTTTTACTAATTGATGATGTTACAAAAATATTCCTAGCAGAAACGTTATTCCAAAATTAAACACTTTAAAATAAATATTGTTATTTATTAGATTAATAAATGATAATTTGCGCCTAAATGTAGTTATTTTCGTTTTTTGTGCGACGACGTTGGCAACACGCATGCGCACGTCAAGCACGTGAAACTTGCCTCCTTTTTAAATGTTTTTTTGTGTGCGATTTAAACAAAACGCGATTACACGTTTCGTGAATGGATTTAAAACACTAAAAACAAGTTGTTGTGATTGTCCCCTCTAGTTCTGTTAGTGTTCTATCACAGTTATAAAATCGACCAAGACGATGGATAACATCATCGACTACATTTACAAGTCTTGTGATCCAACTAATACAAACCTCGTTCAAGTCTCCTCATTGATAAGCGTTATAAAACCTTACATGCCCAACAACCCGTAAGTATTTCCGCTTGTCATTTTATACCAACTCGTACAGTACGTTTTAGACGAGAACTCGTCGATCTGCAGTCCAAACTTGACCCCCATAGTACAAACCCCAACATAGATTGCACGTTTTTTCAAAAAGTCATGAGCGACTGGATCGCCAATATACAAGAGAACGATATCAATAACAGCTTATCGGATTTTCCCGTCAAGTATAGTGTGATAGTAGTGGGTAATCGTACATTGAATTTTCAGTTTCAGTCAGACAATCAGCCCAAACTTGTCGCAAATTTCCGGCAGCTGCAGTGTCAACAACAACAACAAAAGTACGCCAGTTTTCCTAGAAAGGTAGTAGTTATCACTGTGTTGTTGTAGTAGTCAATGAGAGTAATCTTCCGGCTGAAGAACAAATAGCTGATTTGAAGCTGAAACTGAACAAGGTGACGTCAGAGCTGGACTTGGTTAAGCAGCAGTTGGCGGCCTGCGAGGACCAAAACGAGTCGCTGCTGTCAGATTTAAAAAGCCAGAAATTGCAAAATAAGCAAGTTTTTTTGTTGTTGAGATTTTTTGTAAGGTGACGTTGTAGAGAGCGGCGCAGTGAACTTGTACGTCAGAAAGCGGTTCAGAGTGAAGAAATAAGGGAAGAAATTCATGTGGATTACAAGAAGTGTGAACAGTTGGAGAGGATGTTGTCTAGTAGCGATAAACAACAGCAGGTGTATCTTGCACAAATTGGTACACTTGAAAATGAGGTATATTATACTTATTGAAAAAAATATGTTTATTGTATGTTGTTTTGTAAAACCTAAATGGTGGTAAATTGCGGTGTTGGTGACTAGATGGTAATGGGTTTCTCTCGTTTTAGAACCTTTACTTGAAAAATAAGTTGCAATTGTTAGAAAAAGTCAAACAAGAAGATAAAAAGTCGTTGAGTGATATGCGCGATTCGCTTGACGAGAAAGACACAGAAATATCAACTCTAATGGAACTGATCGACGACGTGAAATCTCAGTTAGAGGAAAAGGCGGATCTTTTAAATTTTTATGTCAATGAACACAGATTGCTCAAACAAAAAATACACGATTTGGAAGCGGTGATCAAAAATAATATTTGTCACAATAGCACAGCTCTTGCACAAGAGCCGCCACTGGGTGGTAGTTTCCAACATATTTTTAATACTCCAAAGTTGCTAAACCAATTGGCTAACCCTATTACTCCGATGATTAGAGACTTTAGTACCAGTAGTCCATTGAAAGACACGCCATTGAGGAGAAATTTCAATTGCAATGGCGGTCCTGATTTACTGAGTAGCTCTTTGGAAGCAGTGACGGCGTGCAGAACTTCACCTAAAACCTTGAAAGACGAGTTGGCAGAAGTTTCATGCATCAGATTAAACGAGTCTGAAGACGAACTTGGCCGGTTGCATAAATTAGTGAAAGATCAAGAAGACATGAAGAACCATCTATGGGAAAACATGAAGCAGTTGTCCAAAGATAATGAAGAACTTCAAGACTATAAGAAAGAATATCTAGATTTGATGCTCAGAGTTCAAGAGAAAGATCAAGCACTTAGAGAAATGAAAAACGAGCTGAATGAAAAAAACCAAGCGCTTACAAATATGAAAAAAGAAATGGAACTTTTGAAAGAAAAACCAAGCGCGATTGGACATTTGACAGACGAATTGACTAATTTGGAAGACAATTTAATCAAACAGAAGTCCATTAGTACTAATCTGAAAACGAATCTAGAGTACGTGGCTAAAACTTTGGAGCAAGAAGTGTGTGAACAGTTGTTCAAAGAAGCGAAAAGTACACAAACTGAACAAAATACGACAAGTAGAAGTGTCCAAGTTGACGACGATCTAAACACGAAATCGTCTCTGGAACAACCAGAACGGAAATGCAATTACGCAAAACAGCAGATGAAAATAGACCGACTTCTGGAAAAACAGGAAAAAACTGTCAAAGATTTGTGCAGCGAGAGGGCAATCAACACAAAATTGACGCGCAAATATCAAGATAAATGCATGGAGTTTGAGGGTATTAAAACGCACCTGGAATCTCAGCGCGAGGAAATTGACAAGCAAACGCGCCGTTTCGAGGCGCTGCTAGCCAAGAAAAATGCTTTACTGAAAGATTTGGACGCTCTGAAGTTAAAAAATTCGGATTTAGTGTCGGAAATGGAACTCGTAAAAGAAGAAATCGCGATTGTGAAGTCGGAGAATCAAGATTTGAACGAAAATCTCTCCAGTGTGATCAATAAATTGGCGAGTGAAGCAAACACTGCTGTGAAGTTGCGTCTAGAAAACGAACTGTTGCTGAACAATCAGTGCCATCTGGAAACGAAGTTAAAGACTGATCTTGTGCGTCAGTTCCACTTGAAGAAGTACTTGGTGGATTCAGATGCTCTGCACCGGGTTTCGTTGAAACAGCTCCAGGATGAGTTGGTGGAGAAGGGGACTGAGATTAGGACACTCAGGAAGCAGAATGAGGTCGCTAGTGTCGATGTTTTTATTTCGTCGTGTAACGAGGAGTTGCGAAGGCACGTAATGCTGTTCAATGAAAAGTTCAACCTATTTATAAAATATGTAATATGTAGTATGTAATAGGTTGGATTTTTCAAAAATCTACAGCAACAATATTTTGTACGAATTGAGACACTTTCCAGGGAACTGATTAGTATTTATGAGTTTTTCAACCTTGAGTATGACTTCCCAGACCGACAAATGCGGTTTGAATGTAGTGAAGATACCTTAGATTTGGAGAACGAAATGATTCTTCTGAAAAGATACATTTCATTGGCTATTTCATTTATGCACGACATGCGCAGTAAACACCTGGCTGTATTAAATCCACCTGAAGTTGACTTAACCAGGTAACGCGTAGTATTACTATGACGTTTTGAGTCACTTTGTTTTGTAGGAATGAATTTCCAAGCCATAACGTTGAGTTTGATCATCCAGAGGAGCACGAACATGCAGACTTTACAATAAATAGCGACACTTTCGTAAGTTGCTTAAGTGACATTTCTGACTTTGCGCAAGAGGTTGAATCTTTGTCGTTCGATAGCGATTCGTGTTTCGAAAATCTGGAAATCGACCCCGTTGATTTAAGGTGAGTGGCTAAAATGACTTACTTTCGTTGCAAAATTCGTTGTTTTAGAAATTTATCTCAGAGCGAAAGGGAGGAAAAGTTTGCAACCCTCGCACTGCTATTAACCGTTGATGTCAAGACTTTACAGAAACGAATTTCTAGTGAACAAGAAAAGTTTCGTCAGATGACTACAGGTTTTTTTTCGCATTTGAACTACGCGCTGCATTTGCTCAGTCAGAGTAGAAACAACGTGAACGAAGTTGTAAACCATTTGAAATTAATGAAAAATATAAGTAAAGATGTATTTGAAGTGGCCGTCCAATGCGGCGTGCTTCACTCAGACCAAAGAACTGCGAATTGTTGGAGAGTAGCAATCAACTACGTGGCGCTTTTGAGCCAAGAAAATAAAAAATTAAATGAGTAAGTTGGAAGAAATATTTATTTAACCAAAGTATGTTCTTTAAGATTATTCTATGTGTGTAATTGACTGATTTTTTATTCAGAAAAAATAGCGCCTTAAGGTTGCAAGTCAAGCGTTTTCCCGTCTCTTCATTCCTTAATGAAGATGGTGTGAGTTGCAAGTAAAGTATGCGCAAATTAAAAAAAAGTCGTTTCTATCAGTGCACTTTCAGCGCTAAGAATTCCAGGTTTAAGTTTTGGATTTATGTTTTGTTTCTTGTGTTGCTGTGTTTGGTGTTATTAATCCTCTATGTTGATCATCATTGCCCCAGGAATACGAAACGAGTGTGTCCTCTACAATGGATATTAGAATTGTTTGTTGAAAAAATACCCTCTGATGATTTTCGTCTGTAATTTTTATTGTTCTTTGTTTATTACAAAATATATTTTTAAAAAACGACTAAATTAAATTAAATTAAAGTATCCCCCACGCCTTTTCAAACGCCGAACACAACTTAGTACACGTGAGAGCCGCCGAAAGGGGATAATTACTAATAGACAACGTGTCTTCAGTGTAGTCAACATTCACACTACCTCTAGCCATAGCTCCAACAACCACCGCAATCGGATCTTCATCCTTGGGCACCACTTCTTCACACTCCGTGACTTGCTTCGCCGCGAACGACATAGCCAACTTCCTAATCCCCACAGGCAAGTGATTCACAATGGGGTTTTTGATCACTTTGAGTAATTTGGGTCCGTTTTCGGCACGAATGGCGTATTTGTGTAACAGCTGCACCATCAAACCCGCGAACCGTTTAAAAGTCCTAGGTATTCGAGTTTGCGGGTTGAGTTCTATGAGGACGTTGTTCTCCGTGTGGATGTACACTTGTAGCAAACCCGCTCGATTCAGCGGGCTGTCGAACAGCATCAACAAACACTGGTGGGTGATGTCGGGGCGACACGACGACTGCACCCGTCCTGAGTTCTTCAATATGTGGGCGTGGTCGTCGCAGTTTAACAGTTCGAATTTATTGCCGACTTTGACTGTCTCGAGTTGGGCCCCCTCGAGGATTATGATGAGACGCTTTTCTTGGTTTTTCAAGTGGTTGACGACGAAGTGTTTCGGGGGCGGGTCGAATTCGGTGTCTTCGTTTTGGTTTTGTTGAAGGAGTTTTCGTTTTTTGCCCATTTTGTGGTGGTAGTGTGGTGGTTTGGGACTTGTGAGGTTATGTGGAGTTAGCACGTTGACAGGATTGACAGTTCACGATGGATGCGCCATAGAGATCTCTAGTAGCGAAACACTTCCCCCACCAGTGACCAACATTGGAAACAAGTACACTTCGTTTATTTTCGTAAGCTGACGTATTGAAGCAATTATTCAGAAAAACCGTTTTTTATTGAATTAGTTAGTTTTTTTTTGTTGCAAAACGGTTTTTTTGTTTTTTGGGTTTAAAGTTGAACTGCTTGGACGATAACGAACACTTCAACAACATGTGTTTTTTTTATAATTTATCTACTGCCCTAAAATTTCAAAATTTCTGCTCTTTTACATATTGTAGTCCCTTGAGTGGTAGTATCAGTTCTAGGGATATTAAATATGATGTTGGCACTATTGAATTTGTGAAGTAAAAAACTAAATATTGTTCGAAATAGCTGCTTCTTTTTATTTATTACTTTCGTGAATTTGTCTATATTAGAATCTAATTTTGTAGTTTAATACTGAGTGACTATCAATGTTTGTGATTTTTTTTGTCAGGTTGACAACCTTTTTAAAATTTTGTGATGGCAAAGCGACATTTATGACAGCTGACTTAGTAGCACGGATGCCAATAATTCAGAACTGCCAACACAAAAAATTGCTTCAATGATTAATAGTCATCCGGTATACTAATTTAAAGTAACCAGTTCAGTATATTCTTATACCGAAACACTTTGGCCCTCCACACAAAAATCCGCCGCAAAAATACTTATAGAAATGGGAAAAACTCGCCACCATTTGAGAAAAAATCCAAAAACAACCTTGGAATGAGTCATCAAAAAGTTTTTAGTTAGGGTAGGCTATGTAAGTATTGTTCGTTTCTTTAAATAATAAACCAGTAAATGACAACAAATCAAAAATGTAAAGATCAAAACAGAAAATTTAATGTTGAAACAGCGAATTTAAAATTCCCTGGGTGGTTGTCGCCCCTTTACTAACCAAAATCATACATGAATCGAAAAACAAAATTTGACAAGTTTGATTTTTGGCTCGTAAGGTTTAATCAAAGAAATGAAAATTATTTCCATACCCTAACCTAATTTAAACATTCATCACGATTCGGATCGGGACAGATGGATGGGGCTTCTCTTTTCGTTTTCTTTTTTAATTAATACTTTAGTTTTCTTTGTATAACACGATTACTTAAGAACATATTTCACATGGTAATTTCTCGTGGAAAAATAAGGATTTTACAATTAAGCTCCGCCCCTCAGCTTACGACGAATAAAAAAATTATCAGAATTGAGATAGGAGGGGTGGGCGGGGCTTATATTTTGCCTTTTTTTTTCTTAATATATATATCCATCTTTTTACAATAAGAAACATGTTCTAAGTTTCTTGTTGTGAAAAGAAGTCTACACATATTAAAACAAAAAGGCAAAATGTAAGCCCGCCCATCCGCCCTATCTCAATTGTGATGATTTTTTATTCGCCGTGAATCAAGGAGACAGAGTTTAACTGCAAAATACTGTTTTATTGAAAAAATATTACGCACTGTCATTCTATCATTTATGAATTTTCATATGTGACTCAAGCTTTACTGTCATTTTGACACTTTTCAAAAATCTATTTTGTCAAACGATGCATTTGATATTATTAATATCCGACAGATATGACACTACTGTCAGTAAATTAAGATTATTTAAATCAAGCACATTTTACAAGTTATGACATTAGTAAATGACACTGTCAAATATTTTTTTAATAAAACTGTACTTATTTTTTTACAAGAAATTAAAAACATGTTTTTGAGTATCGTGTTGTTCAAAGAATATATGTATATTAAGAAAAAAAAAGGCAAAATATAAACCCCGCCCACCCACCCCGTCTCAATTGTGATGATTTTTTTTTAATCTTATAAACTTAAAACACATTTAAAATGGTAAATTTTTGTAGGGAAATATGGATTTTGCAATTAAGCTCCGCCCCTAGCTCTGGCAACAAATGAAAACTTCATTACTACATATTTAGATCAGGTCAGATATTAATTTTTGGCTTTAATTTTTTCTTAATATACATATTTGTTGTTCTTTAATCAACACGATACTCAAAAACAAGTTTTTAATTTCTTGTAGAGAAATGAGGATTTTGCAGTTAATCTCCGCCCTCTTGACTCACAACGAATAAAAAAAATCATCACAATTGCGATAGGGCGGGTGGGCGGGGCACCATTTTGCCTTTGTTTCTTAATATGCGCGAACTTATTTCGACAACAAGAAACTTAAAACATGTCTAAAATAGTACGTTTTCGTAAGAATCAACTTAAATTCGCCATTCTTCTTCTACAACCCATTTAAATACGGCAAAAGTTGACGTCAACGTCAACAACAAGTTTATAAATCCCACTGTATATTATACCCTTTGGCTGCCTTTGGTGACAATCTGGTAATATACTGTAGTAATATTGGTTGCATTATCTTTAATCAAAATTATATTCTTTAAACGAAAACACGAAGTCTTAATACTGAAAAACTTGAATTTTTATGCAGAAGCTACCGAGAGAGCAATAAAAAACACGATCAAAGACAGCCATGGATTTCTGAAAATACGTCTTTGATAAAATTTTCGTCTTGTCACAACTATCAAAGACAAACTTTCAAAAACCTCTGGTTATCTTTGATCGTATTTTTTTATTGCCCTGTACAGGTGTGAATGGTAATAGTGACATTTAATCGTAGGAAATAATTTCAAATCGCAAGTATTTCATTAAACTAGGTTAATTTAACGGATGTTTATTCACTTCATTCACCTGTTTGTAATTGGGTAGTTTACAGTCAAGGTCTCTTGGGGTTTCGTTACAGGCTATATTCTGTGGTCACTCAATTCAAGCCCATTGTTTTTTTGGTTTCTTTGATTTCTTACATATTTCTGTTTTATCGTCGGCGGTGTTTCCGCTACTCGCCGCGGCGCGTTCTTTTGGCGCTGCCGTCAACAACAACATTTGCCATTCTTTCCTCGGACGCCAACAGGGAGTTTGATTAAGAAAATGGCGTCTGTTTGCTCGATGGTGATACGTGCGGTGACAAAACATTGAGAAAATTTCGCGAAAAAGTGGAAAATGAGTGCCGCGTTAACCTAATATTAGTGTAAAGGAACAATCGTTTTTTCTTTCAAACATGACAGCCAACATGTATCGTGTCGGAGGTAAGTGCTTGATGTGGTCTAATTAACCGGCTTCGTTCAGAGGAAGTCTTCCTCTTGAGCGCGACAGATCATCGTAACAATGCCAATTACCGCCACCGCCGAGACTCGGCGGCAGTTCGCGCCCAGGGAACGGCATCGCGCTAGCGCTAGCCGATGCTAGAGCTAGAACTAGACTCGAGAAAGTAGTTGGTAAACCGACGATCGGTGTGGATCGCAGTGGTAGCTGCTCGCATAATTCGACTGTTTTGAAGACAATTGTTGCTTTGGCGGGTGTCGGGGGTCGATTTTATTCGATCGGGCCGCTGGTTCTTATTTCAGCGCCCTTATCTCGGCCCTGCGTTATCTCTGCCCGATTAATCAAACAAACCAACTCCGACTCGTATCGGGCCAGGTATGAATAATGAATATTTGCTGGTAATTGGCAATCGGCATATTCTGGCGCGTGCTGCCAACTTGACAACACGCGCTGGCCAGAGCACTCTGCGATCAAATAACGACGAAACGCTGCGTTTTTTTCCCACGCGTTGCGACCCTAACCCTCTCTCATCGCTGTGTCTCATTGTAGATTACGTGTACTTCGAGACGTCGTCGACGTCGCCGTTCCAGATTCGACGCATCGAGGAGCTGAACAAGACGGCGTCGGGGAACGTGGAGGCGAAGGTGATGTGCTTCTACCGCCGAAGAGATCTTCCGAGCCAGCTGATCCAGCTCGCCGACAAACACCAATGTAAGTCGGGTCCGCGGGATTCCTTCGGCGTCGCTCTAATTGGCCTTCCGGGGGGCGGGGAGGGGGCGACATTTCTCGCTTTTCACGCATTCTAAATGAGTGGTGGGGCAAAAGTCTTGATTAGGCGATCGATATTCGCTGACTGTACCTGTCTTGTCACCGACCGGCCGTGGCGGCGGCGGTGTTTCGCGAAATCGTGGCAGGGCTGTACGCGATCGGAGCGTTGCCATGACGACGGCAATGAGATGTTCGCTTCTTTGGTTTAAAAAAAGTGCGCAAAATTGGCTTTGTTGGACGTGGATGCGATGGTTTCGTGGCCGCTGTTGTGGTAGCGATGGACCGAAATTCGTGGTCAATGATGACAATCGGTTGTCTTTAAGCTTGACCGGGTGGTAGATGCTTTAGCTTAACTATAGACATACGTTAAAAAAGACTATGACGTTATGTGGGTGATGTTTGGTTCTCGAGACGAAGTCGAGGGCAATGATCATACGAGAGATATACAAGTCTTTTTTTAAATAAAATTATTTTAAGAACTCGTGATGGCCGGCTTTGTAACGGTCATCATGTCAAAGTAAGCTACATTTGTAAACAGGTCCAACCATTTTGAAATTAATGATAATTCGTCGAGCTTTATGTAGAACGAACCTTAAAACAACTGCTTTTTTAAAACAATGACGTTGTGGAGTAATTTTATGTATGCATGTGTGCGAGCTTTAAATAACGCGGGTTATTACATAATTTTTTTGAAGATTTGTCATTTATCGTGGTATTTTGAACTCAAACTTTAAGATTGACAAGACGAAATTCTATCAAAGACAAGTTTTCAAAAATCCGTGGCTGCCTTTCATCGAGTTTTTTATTGCTTTCTCGATATATGAAATACTTGTTGGGGAAAAAATCATGTTGCTAAATATAATTAATAAAACCGGGCTGAGGTAGCACTTTTTGTTAAAGTTTTTTATCCACGAGGGTTTAAAATTCATTTTTAATGTGTGTCAGTAAAAGCGCCTTTTTGTTTGTCAAATGAATATCATAAGGAGTACAAACAACTTTTTTGCTGACATTTACCAGAGTTTGTTGGTTGTTTCAACGTTATATTTTTACTTCCCGAGCGTAAGCGTTTTCTCGACCTTTCATGACCCCTAGAGTACGAAGAAATAGGTCTCCCATTTTCGCCTGTTTGTCTATCTGTCCGTCTGCCCGTGTATTGCAGTTGAGTCAGTTTACTTTTACATTTTCTCGACCTTTCATGACCCCTAGAGTACAAAGAAATAGGTTTCCCACTTTCGTCTGTTTGTCTGTCTGTCCGTCTGCCTGTCTGTCTATCGTCCCAGATTTTTATTAGACATATAATCTCCAAAAGTACTGGTCCGATTGTTGTCAAATTTTGTATTTATATTAGGAATATCATGTATATGGTAAAATGCTAACTAAACTTTGTCTAATCATACTCACCAATAATGTGAAATTTTATATACTAAATGGGTTTTAAATTGTATAAAATAACATAGTCGTACACTAGTAGTAGTAGTTTATTACGTCGTGTTGAGTTTTGTACTCGAAACGTCTTGATTTTTTGGAGAAAAATCAAAATTATAAAACAATATTTTGCAATTTAGTTTTGAATCTGCAAAACCGACTGCTTTGAAATCTTGCAGATGTTTTAAACTTATGATAAGAACGATCAATTGTTAATCAAAATATAGTTGCTTATCTCCTCCAAAAATTTTTGCCGGATAAATCCTATCTAAAATGTACAAAATATGGTCAATCTATACTTGTGATTTATCAGTCAATTTATTTTATCGAATAAATCAAGAATTGCAAGACTGAATACTTTGAAATCTTGCAGACGTTTTAAAGTTATTGTAATCATGATAAATTGTTAATCAAAATATATCTGTTTATTCCCCTCAAAAATGGATGACGTCATCTCAAAATTTTGCACCCAAAATGTGTAAAATATGATGAGTTTTTTACTTGTGACTTATCATTGCATTCATATCTTTTAGATTTGCTTCCAGTGACTACTCTTAACATTGTTCAGTCCTATCTTAGCAAGATTTAGCCCCGCCCACCCACCCCTTTTTTTTAAAGGGTATATATTATCTGCCAAAATCACTCTTATCTTAACAAGTACTAGCCCGCCCACCCACTCTTTATTTTCTTAGAGAGTATGTCAAAATCAATCTTATCCTAGCAGCTACTAGCCCCGCCCACAGGCGGTGTTCTCATTTTAACGATTTTATCTCTCTTTAATTGGGATCCACCTTCCATTCGGATTAGATCAAATGAATCATTGAAATGGAAGCGGGGTGGGTGGGCGGGGTGAACTATATGTTCTTTTGTAAAGTGTGATTGGGGACTAATAGAACGTAAGCTGTTAAAAAAACCTATATTTATTTCTTATTTCTGAAGAAGAAAAATGAGAACGGGTGGGTGGGCGGGGCTAAGTTAAACTTTTTCATACAGAATTTTTCATAAGCAAGCAATAGCCCCGCCCACCCACCCCCTGTTCATTCCAGTGATTACTCTTAATATTGTTCAGTCATTTAGAAAAATCAATCTTTTAAAAAAATTCTAGCTCCGCCCACCCACCCCCTCGCTTGGTACATTTCATTGTACTTTCGGTGCGAGGAAAGTTCTGTCGAAACAACTTTCGACCAATTTTTTCTCTTCGTATTAGAAAAGTTTAGCCAAAAATATTCAAATATTGGAGCTGAATTTTTCCCATAGAAACTTATTCGTAAAAATGAACAGCTACCATATCTTATTATTATTATTATTTGCATGTTGAACGAGAATAAGTTTATGTAGCTTAAATTACATAAGAAAGTGTCAGTTTATTAAGGAAAAGTAGCAAATATTTAGCGGAGAACGGCCAATTTCATGTTTTCTCGACATTTCATGACCTCTAGAGTATAAAAAATGGGTCCCTCGTTTCTGTCTGTAGTCTGTTGGCGATATTGTTTGACAGATAATCTCTGAAACTACTAGATTGATTGTAGTCGAATTTTATTTAGGAATATCGTGTAGGTGGTAAAATGCCAACCAAAATTTGTTATCTCACAGTTTAATAATGAAGATTATTTCGACAGAATTTCCCTTGATCGAAAAATTTAAGATCTGATTTTGCGAATTTTATTATGAGAACCCTTAAAGTTAAGTATGGTGAGTTTTTTTTTGGTTTAATCAATACAATAAATTGCCTTATTCATTAATTTTTTTGAGTCACCCTGTATAAGTAATTCTAAACACTATGAGTGCATTGATAAATCACAAGTCAAGAGTCAAGTAATATTTTGCATATTTCAGAGATGATTTACTAGGCAAAATTTTGAGATGACGTCATCAATTTTTTGGGAGGATTTTGCAAGATTTCAGAGTATTCGATTTTGCAGTTTTAAAGTTAAACTGCAACATATTGTTCTACAATTTTGATTTTTTTTACAAAAATCTGCATGTCTAGGGTGAAAATTCAGCACGGATTCATACACCACAAGTTGAGGATGACGTCATCCCATTGGTAGTGGAGATGATTAACCAAATTTTGGTTAGCGTTTTACCATCTACATGGTAGTCCTAATATACGTACAAAATTTTACGGGTTCTATTTATTTGGTCAGTATTTATATGAATAAATTGCAAGTATTTTTAATAAAAATGGTCAGTATTTTGTGTATATTACGAGCAGTATAATATACATCATTATCAGTATAATATTGATTTGAGTAAAATAATAATTCATGTGTGGTCAGTAATTTTACATACTTTTATCAGTAAAAACTTTAGATACTGTTAGTAAAAAATAATAGAACGTCTTTAAAATATAATTTTATTTATTATATTAAATAAACAACAAATAAATGGTAGTAAATACATTTTTATAGAAACATACTTTAAATGCAATTTAAGGAAAAATATCATTGTCTTACAAATAAACGAAAAACTCTGTATCAATAAAACTTAACTGTAATAAATTCTTGTAAGAACATAACAAAAAATATAGGAATAATTGTCTTAAAAATGAAAAATAAACAATAAACTCTAAAATACAAGCAAATGTAATAAAATAAGACATTACAGTCAATCAATTAAGAGAGCCCGTGTTGCCAATTTGGGCCTCCCTCTTGACCGTTTTTTACCTATAGGTACTTGTTTGGCACTGGGAGGAGGTGCGACATATTTTAACCTAATGGATAATCCTATTTCACGTCACTCTTTTATAGGTTATGTTTCTGCCGCGAAACTACATACTGCCACATTCCATTATAAAAAAACAATTTTAATTAATTTACAGACGTTACAAATTAAAATACTGCTAGTTTGTCTTTAATACATTACCTACTATTTAAAATACTGGCAAAATATAAATTTTACTGACCACATTTTCACTGATCATAGGCTACTGACCTCATCCAAATTTACGGACCAAAAACAATCAAAAATACTGACCACATAAATGACAGCCAAATTTTACCACAATCGATCCCGTAGTTTCGGCGGTTATCTGATTAATAAAAATCGACACAGATAGACGGACCGACAGACAGAAGGAAACGGGAGACTGCTTGTTTCGTACTGTAGGGGTCATGAAACGTCGAGAAAAGATGAAAGTGGCAAGTCGCCCGAAGGACTCGATTACTATACTTCCTTAGTTTACGCTCAGGAAGTAGTAAAACTCACATCTGACAATAATTTGAGGTTAGATCGACAATTCAAATATGACAGAAGTTACAGAATGAGTTTCACCTTGACAGATGTGGGATGTAGCATACGTTCAAAAAACATTTGAGCATCAGCAGTAACTAGAGGTCTTTTATTTTTGATCGTAATATATAAATTTTGCAAAATAACGTAATCAAATGCTTGTGGTTTATGAATCCGCCTCAATTTTATACCTTCAGACATGAAGCCTTTTGGAAAAAAAAATCAAAATTGTGTAACATCACTTTAGAATTTAACTGCAAAACTGAATTCTCTCAAACACTGAAAAC